TATTTTTCAGGATTTGTTGCAGTTTTAAGCTTCAAAGATAGACTCTGATGCGAAGGATGCCGTTAATGGAAGAAGCATTACCTGGTGATTTGGGTTTTATATTTTGGCTTGGGATGTACGTCAAATTGCAATGGATCATATGTTTATAGATGTGGTGCACATGCATTGGGGTTGAACATCTTTCGAGAGTCTTTAAGCATATGCTGAAGGGGTGTTTCTTACTCCATGTTACCTCTCCTTTCTTTAGTTATTACAAGTCACCTTTTCGTTTCATGTTCAGTTTATTTAGGTTAGACTGTAATATATACCATCATAGCACTATGGTTGTAGCCTAGATGAATGATGCAAACAATTATGATTTTAGTTGGAATGAGTGTATGAAATATAAAATAGTAGAAAAAATAGGGATCTGAGATATGATCTATAGACGAAAGAGAACAATTAATAAGCTGTCATCGAGTGCATAGGGATTTTTCTTGCTAACCATACTTGGTTTATAAGCTTAATGGCTTTGGATGCATACCATGTCTTTTCCATATTTCTCATTTGTAAGGAACAAAACATGCCATTTTAGTAATGCATAATGTCCTGGAGTTGAACATAGTTCATAATTCCTTTAATTGATGTGCCACAAATTTGAAATTATTTTGCGTTTCAATTTTACTTATCATTTGTGAGCCATTACAAAGTTTTAGTTTCTTTTTTATGGTTGATGTTGATTTTCTTTTCGCGGATGCGCTAGATATCAAATTCCAAGCATGGACCATGCACCCTTAAGATCATATTCTGCACATATAGATCTCAGTGTGAAATTCCATAGTCATTATAGCAGGTAATCATGTCTAACCTTGAATATGTTACATAGATCTGTATATAAATAGGCATATATTATATGTAAATTATTATTGTTATCATCATCAGCATCATCATCATTATTTGTTTCCTCTCATTTGTTTTCGCTTGTTCATGATATATAATATATAGGTGATTTTGTTTCCTTTTTAAAGGTTTATATCATTATATCATTCATGTTAATTGTGTTTTCTATTGATTTGGGGACTATACCAATTTTGGCTTTTCTTGTTTCCCCTTCCTTAAGGCAATAAACTTTGTAGAACTTGGAACAAAGATGAAGTGTTGTAAGGCTACCAAAAAAGTAAACTATTTGCACATAACTGGTGTCTTCCAACAAGCTCTTGCCATTTCTGTTAGATCTGATCAAAAATCAAAACCTAAATATTAATATGAGCTACTGGAATGAGTTTCACAAAATATCAATCAATCACTCTATATGTGTGTGGATCGTTTTCAGGCGACGGTGGTGGTGGAGGAGAGGTGAATCGGTGTTTTTTTATGGTGTGGCTGGTGGTAGGAGAAGTGGTGGAATGGAATTGGTAGGGTAGAGTCAGTTGTGACCAACTCTTATATAATTGTGACCAATAAAACATATAAATTGTGACCTAAAAAATGTATGATTTTGTGATTATTCGTGATAGAGAAATAAATTATATCCAATTAACTATTGTGAAATAAGTTGGGACCTATATATTTTGTGATCGAGAAATAAAATATGTAACTGTATGTGATCAAATCTGTGTTAACACTGACATGTATAACTAGACACCTGGTAACAGTGAATGTTTGGAACAAAAAATGTTTACATTTTAAGTTTGTGAACAATTATCTATCTTGATTGTGACTATCTGTGACCAAATCTATCTTAATTGTGATTGGTGACCAAGTCTGTGTTTATTGTAACTATATGTGACCAAGTCTGTGTTAATAGTGACATATGTTAAAAAAAAATGTTTGTGACAAACGTTGTTTACATTTGAAGTTTGTGACCATTTATATGCTAATTATAATCGTATGTAACCAAGTTTGTTTTAATTGTGGCTAGTTATGATGAAGTTTGTCTTTATTGTGATTGTCTGTGACTATGTGTTTTAATTGGAATTGTATGTAATCAAATCTATGTTAACAGTGACATATGTAACTAGACATCTATTAAGAGTGAATAGTTTTTACAAATTCTGTTTACATTTAAAGTTTGTGATCATTTATACATTAATTGTGATCAGTAATGTGTTGTAACCTATAGTCTAATGATGACATGTTATTAAAAATCAGAAATGCTACTGGTACATTAAGGCATCCATCATGATATCCAACCTGATGACGTGGCATTTTTTTGCCCCAATTTCTTGCGCCCATAAGGAAGACAAAAAATAAAAACGCACAAGCCATCGCGAGCCCTAGCCTCTCTTTCATTTTCATTCATTCACTCCCTCCACTCACTGCCCACCTCCTGCAGGCCCTTCGTCACCGTTCCCGGAGCTCGACGACGGCGACGCCGTCGACAGTCAGTTCCAGAACGAGCCCAGCGTCTGTCTCCATTTTCACGTTCAATCCGGTGTCAATTCCCAGAAGCTCCACTCACTGCCCACTGCCTGCAACCACACCCTTCCTTCATCCTCGGCGCCCAACGACGGCGTCTCCGCCTCCTCAAAGCAGTCGGCACCCTCATAATGGAAGGGTTTGCAGAGCAATTTCTGTCGTTCCCCGATGTGGTTGCCGGCCGATTTGAAGACACCACCGGTTCAAATGGTACTTTTCTTTTCCTTTCCATTCGAGATATCATGGTTTAGGCTTTAGAAAATTCCATTCGAGATGAAACCGTGATTTCCCTTCTTTCTCCATCTCTGCAGAGAACGATAGGTATATTGAAGGAGGACATGATGTTTAGGACAACATGGTTGCAGAGATCGCCGACCACGGTATGCGTTGTTTATTCTTGAATTTTGCATTTATATTTTAGTCATATGCCCATGTCATTGTGTTTTTACATTCTTTTCAGTTTTCTGTTTTGTGATTTTTCGTTATTTTTGTTGATTGAAGTGGGCTGATTTTCTTGAACTTCTCGTAACAAGTAGAATGCAGATGCAAGCACTTTTCCTTCATCAATTCAATGTGGCTTTATATCATATTATAGGCATTCTTTCAAAAATAATCTTGGAGTAGAGTGGCTATGATAGAACAATCTATGAATGACTTATTGTAACTAGCTAGCAGAGTGGTTTAGACCTCTATAAGTAACACCAATTCTCTGTCAAAACCATCTATATAACCATTGAGGAATTTTCTTTACAGTGAATTTTGCAGTTATATTTTCATCATATGCCCATGATGCTTCTCTGTGTTCTATTTCATGGAGATGAAGTACTATAAGTATTAGGTTCGATGTTGGATGACAGATTTCATTAAAAATTGGGAAAGCAGCCTAATTGCTTATCACTACATTATTTACGTTAAAACAATTGCATCATGTCTGTTGGTGTAAAGCCTAATGTGAAATGGCATTCTTGCAGGAGTGGATGATGGCATTCTTGAAGGAGTGGATGTTAGCTTGTCTAATATTGTGGGTGACGATGATTTGGCCAACAAAATGGCAGTTGTTGAAAATGAGATAGTCGTGCCTACAGTTGGTATGAAATTTGCGAACGAGATTGAGGTATTCGAATTCTACAAGAAATATGCTTATCATGTAGGATTTCCTGTTAGAAAACAAACTACAAAGAGGGGAGATGATGGGATAGTATGGAGTGTAAGTTTTACCTGTAGTCGAGAAGGGCTACAAAATCGTAACCAAAGCACTTCCTTGAATCCTCCACCAACAATCTAAACTGGGTGTAAAGCTAGATTGACTGCGTCCTCTGATGCACGTGGAATATTTCGAATAAATGTTGTGCATTTAGAGCATAACCATAAAACAAGCCCATCTAAGTCTAGGTTGTACAAATGTAATAGGCAAGTTAGTGAATGTGTGAAAAGAAGGCTTGAGGTAAATGACATAGTAGGAATACCATTACATAAGAGCTTTAATTCAACTGTAGTGGAGGCAGGTGGTTTTGATAACATGACATGTATTGAGAAAGATTGCAGAAACTTCATCAAGAAAGTGCGGCGTTTAAGACTTGGGGAAGGGGATGTCGTTGCAATCCAAGCATATTTCTCAAAAATGCAAACTCGTAGTCCTGGTTTTTTCTTTTGTATGGACTTGGATGATGATTGTTGGTTGAGAAATGTGTTTTGGGCAGATAACAGATGTCGTGAAGCATATAAGGAATTTGGGAATGTCGTTACATTTGATACCACATACCTCACTAACAAGTATGATATGCCTTTTGCTCTTTTCGTGGGAGTCAATCACCATGGGCAGTCAACTCTTCTTGGTTGTGGTTTGGTTTCAAATGAAGATATTGACACATTTGTTTGGTTATTTCGGACATGGCTAGAATGCATGAATGGTCAAGCCCCTAATGAAATAATTACAGATCAAGATCGAGCTATGTAAAATGCTATTCAAATTGTCTTTCCTAACACAAACCATAGATGGTGCTTATGGCATATACTAAAGAAGTTACCGGAAAAGTTTGGCTATCACAAAGCCAAATGCTCAATATTGCATGCTATACATGTGTTAGTTTACGACACTTTAATTTGTGAAGAATTTGAGGTTGGTTGGTTGAATATGCTTGATCATTTCGAATTACAAGATCATGACTGGTTGAGTGGACTCTATAAAGAGAGAAGTCGTTGGGTACCATGTTACCTAAACACTACATTTTGGGCCGGTATGTCAACCACACAAAGGAGTGAGAGCATGAATGCATTTTTCGATGGCTATGTGCATTCGAAAACTTCTTTGAAGCTTTTTGTTGAGCAATAGGAGCAGGTGTTGCGAAGTAAAGTGGAGAAAGAATTTCAAACTGATTTTAGATCATTTTCACAAATGATTCCATGTGCCACTAAGTACGATATGGAGAAACAATTTCAAAGTGTGTATACTATCACAAAATTTAGAGAGTTCCAACAAGAATTCACGGGGAAGGTATACTGTGAAGTCTTATCTACGGCAGACTTTCCTGGGCAAACGAAGTACTAAGTACGTAAGGATATCATTCTCAGTGAAGGAATGAAGAAAAGAATATTTACAGTTCATTTCCGTAGAGATAGTTGTGAGATTGAGTGCAATTGTCATTTGTTTGAGTTTCGAGGCATCATTTGCAAACACTCAATATCAGTTTTTAATTCAGAATGACGTACAATTGCTTCTGGAGAAGTATGTCTTGCGGAGATGGAGGCAAGATGTTAGTAGACCATATATGCGGGTTCCAGCGACGTACGATGGTTTGGTTTGTACAACTGAACAATTAAGGTACGAGAGATTGTGTCATGCTTTTACCAAGATGGCAGACTTAGTAGCGCGAAACGAAGAACGGTCCAATCATCTGTTGGGGTGGATTGAATTCCAAACAAATCAATTATCTAATTTAGACATTGGTAGCTCGGGTTTGCATGTGCCTGAAGCTCGAAATGATGAAATCCTGAACATTCTGGACCCGAAGCTTATGAAAAGAAAGGATGACCCAAAAAAATTGCGCAAAAAGAGTCCGTTGGAGGCGAGTTCAAAAAAATCAAAGGATCGAAAAAAGGTCTTAATATCTCTGCATTACTCTTATCAGTTACTTGTTTGTGTAATCATTTAATTGCCTTTTAACCAACTTATTGTTTTGAACATTTGGAGGTTCCAGCAAACACACAAAATGATGACGAGCCCGAAGATCACTGCATCTTATCTTCTCAAACACATCAGCCTTTTGTAACGCAAGAGAGTGTTGACGGTCTTTGACGTTTGTAATGAAATCCGTGAATATGGGATGAGGCAGAATCTAGTATCTTTATGGATGTGTTCTTTTTTTCCAAGATGTACAGCCTCTTTATTTTGATCATGGCTATTTTGAATTAGCTTCTTGTACTTTTGTTATATAAACATTAGTAATATGGCTTCTTGCACTTTTGATTTCATTTAGTGATGCATAAACATTTTAAATTACATTTCTTACAGTTTACTAGTAACATTTATGATTGCCAGAATATACTTTCCGTTGATTCGAAAGAATGAGAATTATGTTGACTGAATGGGGATTATTGTAAGTTGCATATAATTACTGGAAGTCCGAATGTAAGTTCTCATTGAGGAGTGTGATGATGTTGTTTAATTGTGCACAAGATCTCAGATGTTTGGAGTTTATGTTGCTGGTGTAGTAATTGGTCAGGGCTAGCTAATCTGTCTTGATGCTCTATCTCAAAATTTGTCAGGGCTAGCTAATCTCCCAAAATTAAATATATAAAGTAGAGTAGAGTTTATGTTGAAAAAGTTATGGACCAATGCTAGCTAATCTGTCTTAATGCTCCATCTCAAAGGCCAGCATGGCTGCAAAATTAGGTGCAAGAATTTTAGGCAAATTTGACAAAACGAGCACTTCTAAGAGACTAAAATGCAGACGCAAAATGCCAGAACAGAATTCAAGATAAGAATCAATAGCTTAATCATAGATCGAAGGCTACAATAACCATCACAGATTCACACCAAGGATTATCATATCTAAAACGAACAATCAACCAGAATACTGATTTGAATAGAACACAAAAGATGTAATTATTTAATTAATTCAAGAACAACCATTATTTCGAATAACCTTATATATAACATGACATATTTATCGAAGCCGAAGCGACTCAACAAAATCCCTAAACCACTCATATATTTACAAAACAAGCCAACATACACCTTCAATGAAAGTATTGAAGAATTCCCTCATGTACAACAATCTGATAACGTTATTAGATCAATCAAAACCAAACTACTATTATACATCGACGATAATAAGTCCTCATATACAAAAACTTCAATTCAAATCTCCATTTCCATTAACAAATCTCTACGACGCCAACTGTCTTCATTATTGGAAGCAAACAAGGCTACCGACAAATCGTCCAGCTTTTTCCCATCTAATCGTGAATGTGGAATCCGTGATTGCCTTGGAGCATTTGGAGCTATTATCTCATCAAATTCACTTGAAGCATCAAGATTCCTAAACCTCACCGTCTTCTTGGGCGTACTATATGCAAAATGCATCTGCTTTGCAATCAAAGTCTGTTTATTCATTCCAAAACAGCCAAATCTAGATCAATAAAGAGACAAATATTTTAGAACTTCACAAAATATAGTGACAATCAATAGAATTCCTCCAGACAATTGAAACTTACCGCTTCTCTTATCGTTTTTGATACAAAAAATAGTCTCTTCAAATCATGGTTTCATCTCGAATGGAATTTTCTAAAGCCTAAACCATGATATCTCAAATGGAAAGGAAAAGAAAAGTACCATTTGAACCGGTGGTGTCTTTAAATCGACCGGCAACCACATCGGGGAATGAAAGAAATTGCTCTACAAACCCTTCCATTACGAGGGTGCCGACTGTTTTGAGGAGGCGGAGATGCCGTCGCTGGGCACCAGGGATGAAGGGAGGGAGTGGTTGCAGGTGGTGGGCAGTGAGTGGAGCTTCTTGGAACTGACGCCGGATTGAACGTGAAAATGGAGATAGACGCTGGGCTCGTTCTGGGAACTGATTGTCGACGGCGTCGCCGTTGTCGGGCGCTGGGAACGGTGACAAAGGGCCGACGGGAGGTGGGCAGTGAGTGGAGGGAGTGAATGAATGAAAATGAAAGAGAGGCTAGGGCTCGCGATGACTTGTGCGTTTTTATTTTTTTTTGTCTTCCTTGTGGGCGCAAGAAATTGGGGCAAAAAAAGGCCACGTCATCAGGTTGGATACCATGATGGATGCCTTAATGTACCAGTAGCATTTTCCATTGAAAATATATTATCACATCATTTCTATTAGTCACAAACTACACCATTATCCTTGCACAAATTTAATCAATTATGCCACCCATCTCACATATCTGTATTTACCGTTGACAACATGATTTGTACTTACCATCATGTCTAATGTAACCAAGCTTTCATTTTTACACGGAAAGGTGAAAACAAAACTAAAGTGGAAAGACAAATGAAAGCAAATACATTGTAGCATCCCTTAGAAACAAAAATTAGCCTGATACTAGACTACTGCTGTAGTTCTAGTCATTGTTCTACATATGCATTTTCAATTAACTAATATCTGTAGTCTTGGCAGTAGATATACTAATAATATTTTTGATCTCCTCGATAAATTCATTTCATTGAAGGCTTTTTTTTTTTTTGCGTTCTACCAAGCATTTGACGAAGAAATTTAAACTGCTTTCAATGTCTCCACTCCAAATTGCTTATATATATATAATAAAAATTTGACCCAAAAATCCTTTTAGACATCCAATGTAGTAAAGCACCAATATCATCAAGTTAAAAGTTGGAGTATATTATCTTGCTTGCTAACCAACTGGAGGCATGAACTTGCTAACAATTGTCTGATCGCTCTCAACAAGTGTAAAAAAATCGGTAAAATTGATACACACTTACCACCACCACGTTGTTATTCTTCCTTTTCACCCGCACACTCATCCAAGCCCAATAAACAAAAGATGATGATGCCATCTCTGAATCTCAATACGTACCTCTTGCTGATGAGAGCTTCGCCATTTGCCTCCCTATGGTAGAGATTCTCAATATTGAGAAAACAAAAATTCAATAAAACATGATTCCTTTCGATTGGTGGTATTGGCAACAACAGCATCCGAGTAAGTTCCGAGATGTATCTAATTTTTTGATGAGTAATGGTGGAGATTTGGATTCTTTTTGGACTGAGGATTTTGGGGAGAAATCTTTGGGCGTGTATTCAATTGAGACTTTTAAAGACTTTAATGAACTTTTTCTAAGTGATGACTGTTGTAGATTTCAAGGATCTTTTATAAATTTGTATGGAATTAGTGGAAAGTCTTTTGTAGACTTTTATGGATTGTCATTTTAAATTTTTTTCCATATTTTTGTGGAATTTAGAAGACTTTTAAAGATTTTTATTTGAAGTAGAATTCACGTGTATCTGATGTGAAATTCTCGCATACAAGGTGTTAACTTCCACAATTTCCCTTCTTCTTCCTATATAATTAAAAAAATTTTGAAAAAAATAAAAAATTAAGACCTTAATTAAATAAATAATAATCAATATATATATATATATACACATATATATACGTATATACATATATATACGTATATATACGTATACATATATGTATGTGTATATACATATGTATGTGTATATATACATATGTATGTGTATATATACATATGTATA